TGAATATGAACGGTTCTGGAGAGAGCAGGGATCCGTGAGATGACCTCTGTGTGACCTCTGACCTGCTGGAGTTGTGCAGGAGCTCGGTTCCTTTGCTCCAGGAGATGCTCGGCCGCGGCGCCGCTCGGGGTTTGCAGTCAATCACCACGCGCCCGTTTTTGGCCCCCAGAAGTTTGGGTTTCACTGGGTTCCACTCAAATGAAGGAGCGCCGGCTGGGAAAACAACACATTCAGTGGAAGAACTAGCAGTGTTCCTCAAGATATTCAACTCTGTGAGTCCTAAAGCTCAGAACCACGTATTCAGGCAAATATTAATACTAAACCATGAATACTCACCGAACACCCTGAGCTCGGCGTTGGCGTATATCGTGCCGTGACGGTTCTCAGCGATGCACTGATACATCCCTGAATCATCAAACGTCAGGTCTGTGAAACGCAACTCGTGGTTCTTGGCATACTGATGGAAGAGAAGCAAGAAGAGAACAGATTCATCCGTCAGAATTCAAGACCGCTTTCATCAGATATATTAACATTGTCATATTTCTACTGATTATTATGAGCCTCTGAAAAAGCCTCTGAAATCTATCAATGAGAACAATTCCTAAAAACTGTAAAATAAAATAACATTATTCATATAAATAAATAAATAAATGTGTGTGTGTGTGTGTGTGTGTATTTACATATAATTCATACAAGCTAAAATAATACATATAAATGTAAAATATACAAATAAATTATTTAATGCAAATACATATATATAGACAATGTATTTGTTTAATTAATTTCATTAGATAAAATAAATTAAAATAAAATCATAATGATAAAAAATTACAAAATAACACATAATAACACAAATAAAACAAATTGGCATACAAGCAAAAATAATAATGCAGTACAAATACATTTTAATTCTAATTAATACAAAAACAAACAAATTAATTAATGCATTCTATTATTTATTAATTTGATAAACCAAAATAAAACCATAATTATATAAAAAAATCATAAAAATATATGAATAGTTAATATAAAGTTGATTTTGACTGAAGACCCTGTAAAACACTAACATCTGTCTGGCATTATTATTCTGTTAGAAGTCGTGTTTGATTTGCATTCTGCGGCTCTTGCTGTGATATACGCTGTAAACACACTTCAGGTGTTTGGATCAGCACCATCTGGTGTCGTGACTGTTATGTAACCAGAAGCATGATGGGAAGGCCTCGCTCCAGACGGGAACACAGCCAGCAGTCCGGCCGCCTCACAACACGCTCATTCATTACGCTGATCTGCTGCATCTATTTACATGCACTGCTGGAGTGGAGGAGTATGCTAATGCATTTTACTGACTGGGACAATGTTTGCTATTTTTATTGACATCACAATAGGGAGACTGTGGCGTTCCTGTAGCTCAAAGAGTACAGCATGATGCTATCAACACCAAAGGAATGGGTTTGAATGCATGAACTGTTTAAATGTATAAAACTCTAAATGCAACATCATTCACTCTGAATAATAGCATCTGCCGAATGCAGACTTATTTTTTCAACTGATCTGATTTAAATGCTTGAATTTGTGTGAAAATGAATGATTATAACTCAGACGTCAGTGATACCATTCGTCCGTTCTTCAGGAAGTGCACATGGGGTTTGGGTTTCCCGCTGGCCAGACAGGACATGATGTAATCGCCTCCGATGTCTCTCTCCGAGCTGCTGATCTTCTCCACCCATTCAGGAGCTCCTAGACAGAGACAAACACATGCGTAAACCAGTGTTATTTTAGTGTCATTTAGATACTATTACAGTATTTATTAATATTTTGAACTTTATTTTTTTAGCATGTTTTATGTCTACATAGCTATATATATTTTTTCTCACTGTTAGTTTTAGTTATATTTGTACATCAAATTAAACGAAATGAAAATGAAAAACACTGCCTTGGCAACTAGCTTAAAGGGGTCATATGATGCGATTTCAATTGTTCCTTTCTCTTTGGAGTGCTACAAGCTCTTGGTGCATAAAGAAGATCTGTAAAGTTGCAAAGACTGAAG